CCCCCCCAAAACCCCAAAGAAAGGAATTGGCCAAAGCCAACACTCAACCCCCCCCCCCCCCCGCTCGCACGAACTGGAATCGTGCATGTGCGGCGCAGGGCAAACACCAGGTGAGCATCCGCAGATCAGAGGGGATCTGCAGGCGCAGCAGAGCAGCGGCGCAGCAGACGGGACGAGGACGTCCCTCGCACGAGGTGTCTTGATGCGGCGCCGCCGGCCACTGGCAGGCCCGCGCCGCTAGGCGGGAGTGGCGGGGCGAGGGACGAAGGGGAACCCAACACGAGGGCGTGGGCGCCTGGAAAAAAGCAAAGCGACGCAGCTTGATCCCCCACGCATTGCTTTCCTGGATTCCTACGAATTCATGCATGCATTCGTGCCGCAACGCACTGTTGGCAGGCGGCCGGCACGCCGCTCGTGCCCCAACCTTGTCGCAGGCAGCCCGCCCTGCCGCCGGCTGCCCGCGGCCGTCGCGCAAGACCTCGGGCCCCGGGGCCCGCGCCAGGGCGCGCGCGCTGTCGTTCCGGCCGGCGAGCAGTGGTTGCTTGCGATGCCCCGCGTGGTGAAACAGCATCAAGGGGCCGGGGTGGGGGCGAATTAACGGCACGGCGCCACCCCTGCAGCCCCAGTGGAGCGCAGGGGTCGCCCAACCGGAGGCACGCCTCTCCAGACTGCCGATGCTGACAAAGAAACCGATTATGTTGATACCCACGTCCGAAACAAATGCGCCGAGCATATGGCATCTGGAAAGCAGTGCTGCCATTGGACGCGTCTGTAGGAGATGGTGAAAAATAGACAGCCTGCCGCCACGTGCGCGCGTGAGCACTGCGCGGCATCCTGGGCCCTGGCAATGGATGATGAAAGGAGGGGCAGCCGCCGCAGGACAGTGGCTGCCGGTTCGCAAGGCTTGAAAAAACAACCAGGGCCCATGATTCATTCATTCTCCGCCCGGATTCGCAGAGGGGCGAGGGCACATATCCATCCCCGAAGCCATCCGCCAGCGCGCGCGAGCACGCATCATTGCGTCGGCTGCGGCGGCGGCGGCGCCGCCGCCGCGGCCGCGGCGGCCGCGTCCAGCCCCCCCGGGGGCGGCCCCGGCGCGGCGG